AGAGTAACGTAGAGTTACATAGAGCAGTTTGAGGGCACGTGAAGGCTTGTTGTGCTGCAGGCTGTTTGAGGAAAACGGAAGAGGAAGTGTGAAAGAGCAGACTGCGTTTTACTCAAACGAGGACCAGCAGCAAGCCTAACCCTGGTTAACTCCGCAGCAACATGGCTGTGCAAACATCTGTTAATAAACATCGTTGTTTATTTTCCTTCTTCTTCTTCTTCTTGCTGCTGGAGAGGAAGCACGTGCATCGTCCCCGCGTGCGCTCGCGCTGTTGTGGGCTCGCTAACCCGAAGTAGCGGAAATATTCACGATGCAAGACGAATAAAATGAACGTTTTACCCCCACGAAGTAAAAGTGCGCGTACCTGAGAGGTCACGCAGCTTCTTTACATCCACACGGCCTGCGGTGTCTGCTACATCCAGCTCGGTCATGTCTTCCGTCCATTACTGCTGAAAAAACAAGAAAACACAGCCAGAGGTAAAAGGTCACGGCCTGTGTTTCAGTCAGACGTTTATGAACTGCTCACTTTTACTCTTACATAAAAATATTACAAGTCAAACAAAAAAAACTGCCGTCTTATATTCGCCGAACAAGTAAAATATTTACTTTGCAGACCACTTTTATGATTTAACGACGCTGATGCGTTCATGTTAAAATGCGACGGTGGGAATAATATGAGCTCAAGGACAAGTTTATCAGTTTCTTTTTTTTTTTATGTATAAAAATAGAACATGATGCGTGAAACTAAAAGTACATTTATATATTTATATTTAAAATAAAATTAAAATATTTATAATATATATTTATATAATAAAAAGAATATAGATACTTTATATTTTCGTTTCTCAAAATATAATCAGCAATTTATTGTAAAACATGCTAACTGTAAGAAAGCACCAGTAACAATAACGCTGGTTTAACTTGATAAATACATGAATATGAAAACTAAGGCTACACGTTTAAATTTTTACATTTTATCATTAAATGTTGACCGGTATTAGAAAGCTAAAGGCATAAAGTCCGAGTTTTACCGAAGGCAACTGTATGACGTCAGACGAGATGTTTACCAGAGCTTTTTTTTTTTTTAAAGCGACAGTCATTTATTTACTTTGTTAAACTACAGTGAACAAAAATATTGCAACACTTGTCTTTGCTCCCACTTTTCACGAGTTGAACGCAAAGATCTAAGACTTTTTGTATGTACACAATATTTTACTCTAAAAGATTATTTACAATTGTGTGTAAATCCGTGTTAATAAGCACTTCTCTGTTGCCTCACAGGTGTGGCAGATCAAGATGCTGATTAGACAGCATGATTATTGCACAGGTGTGCCTTGGGCTGACCACAATAAAAGGCCACTCTAAAATGTGCAGTTTTATCACACAGCACAATGCAACAGGTGTTGCAGGTGTTGACATGCTGACTGCAGGAAATGTCCACCAGAGCTGTTGTCCTTGAAATGTGTTCATATATCTACCATAAGGTGTCTCCAAAGACCTTTCAGAGAATTTTGGCAGTACATCCAAGTGACCCCACAACCTCAGACCACGTGTAACCACACCAGCCCAGGACCGCTACATCCAGCATCTTCACCTCAGAGACTGTCTGAGACCAGACACCTGGACAGTTGCTGCAACGAACGGTTTGCATGACCAAAGAATTTCTGTACAAACTATCAGAAACCATCTCAGGGAAGCTCATCTACTGCTCATCGTCCTCATCGATGTCTCCACCTGACTGCAGTTTGTCATCATAAATGACTTGAGTGGGAAAATGCTCGCATTTGATGGAAGATGACACGGAGAGGTGTTCTCTTCATGGATGAATTCTGGGTTTCACTGTACAGGGCAGATGGCAGACTGTGTGCATGGCGTGATGTGGGTAAGCGGTTTGCTGATGTGAAGGTCGAGTGGCCCATGGTGGTGGTGGGGTTGTGGTTATGGTCAATGAACACAGGAGCATTTTATTGATGGCATTTTGAATGCACAGATACCGTGACGAGATCCAGAGACTCGTTGTGCCATTCATCCATGGCAATCACCTCATGTTGCAACATGATAATGCACGCTCCCTCAAAACTTGCAACATCTTTGGCATTGTGCCGTGTGATAAAACTGCATGCTTTAGAGCACAGGTGTCAAACTCCAGGCCTCGAGGGCTGGAGTCCTGCAACTTTTAGATGCGTATCTGATGCCACAGCTGAATCAAATAAGGAGGTCATTAGCAGGACTTTGGAGAACTTGTCTGCACTGAGAAGCTAATTCAATCGTGATTCAGGTGTTTTGGACCAGTGCAACATCTAAAAGTTGCAGGACTCCAGCCCTTGAGGCCTGGAGTTTGACACCCCTGCTTTAGAGGGACCTTTTATTGTGGTCAGCCTAAGGCACACCTGTGCAATAATCATCTAATCAGCATCTTGATATGCCACACCTGTGAGGTGAATGGAATATATGCTCACTAAGATTTGCGAGCAGTATTTGAGAGAGAAAGGCCTTTTGTGTACATAGAAAAATTATTTGAGTTCTGCTCATGATAAATGGGAGCAAATAAATAAGAGATACGGCTTTATTTTTGTTCTCTATAGATTATTGGTTTACACCTAACTCTGCGCCTCAGAGTCTGAGGATCTCTCTTGGTCACTTAACACCTCAAAAAGGCACAACATCGTCTTTATTTCCTGCAGAGCCTTAAAAAGCTCACCAGTGCTCGAGGATATTGCTGGACTTCTATCACTGTGCCATCAAGAGCATTCTCACAAACTGAATCTCATGGTACGGCAACTGCTCTGCAGCTGACTGCAAGGTGGTCCAGCGGGTGGTGAAAAGTGACCAACGCATCACTGGCACATAGGAGTGCATCTACTGCAAATGTTGTCTGGGCAGGGCGAGGAACATTTTCACAGATGTTTCTCATCCTAAACATGGACTTTTCAATCTCCTACCATCTGGTAGGCGTCACAGGAGCCTCCACTCCTACACACCAACACTGTAATCCCACTTTAAGTGATGATATGTCAGAGTCAGAGTTTTTTATTGTCATACACAGCACATGTGGTGGAACGAGATTATGTACAC